AAAAAAAAAAAGTTCGCGCCACCACACTGAGCTAATTGTTCTATTTTTTTGTAGAGTTAGAGTCTCACTCTTGCTCAGACTGGAATAATGAATAATATATTCTTTTAGAAAACATTCACAATGGGGCAGCACCTGTGCCTCAGTGGGTAGGGCGCTGGCCCCAAATACTGAGGGTGGATGGTTTGAACCCGGCCCCAGCCAAACTGCCACAACAACAAAAAAGAAAAACTAGCTGGGCATTGTAACGAGTAGTCCTAGCTACTCGGCAGACTGAGGCAAAAGAATCACCTAAGCCCAGGAGTTGGAGGTTGCTGTAAGCTGTGACGCCACGGCACTCTACCGAGGATGATAAAGTGAGACTCTATCTCTAAAAAAAAGAAAATCATTCACCATACTGAATGTTTGCTGCTTTTAATTAAATATGATATTCTAGTCATTTCTATGAAAATTTGGGTACTAGGTCCTTATTCATAAACCTACCCTAGGTAATAAAACATTATTTTTATGGAAACAAAGCTACTATGGATAACTAGATTACACAATTGATAATATAAGACAATTACCACAAACTGGAGAATTAAAGCAAGTAAACATCTATAGCAACCTTACTGAGAACTTCCCTTTTACTTCCTAAAAATTATCAACTTTCTCTTTTACAGTTGTTAATAGAAAAAAGGGACATAAGGTTTTTTAAACATTAAATAAGATGTCCCATAAATACAAAATGTGCACAAAGAAAATTCATAAAATATCACAATCAGACTATATATACCTTATAATTGAATTATATATAAATCTTATTATATTGAAAGCAACAATGTTTACCTTTTGATCAGGCAGGTTGAACAGGAACTCTCTGTCAAAACGACCAGGTCTCCTGAGTGCAGGATCTATAGAATCAAGTCTGTTTGTAGCACCAATAACAACAATTTCACCCCTGTTATCTAATCCATCCATAAGAGCAAGGAGGGTTGATACTATAGAGCTATAGAAAAAAAATTAAGGCAAAATTAAAAGTTAAAAAAAGAAAGAAAACATTGTAAATACTACTGTTTACAAAAACTTTTATCAGTCTTACATGCTAATAAAATAATTGTGGCATGATTACATCTTAATGCAAGATAAAGTGATTTAGAGAAATCATTTTCACAAGTGCTCAGAAAATCCAATAATAGGGTTGGTGCCTGTAGCTCAGTAGCTAGGGTACCAGCCACATATACCAGAGCTGGTGGGTGTGAATCCAGCCTGGGCTTGCAAACAACAACAACAACTGCAACCAAACAACAACAACAAAAAAATAGCCAGGCATTGGGGTAGGTGTCTGTAGTCCCAGCTACTTGGGAGGCTGAGGCAAGAGAATCACCTACGCCCAAGAGTTTGAGGTTGCTGTGAACTGTGATGCCACCGCACTCTACTGAGGGAGACATAGTGAGACTCTGTCTCAAAAAAAAAAAAAAATTTGCAGGCAGCACCTGTGGCTCAGTGAGTAGGACACTGGCCCCATATACCAAGGGTGGTGGGTTCAAACATGTCCTAGGCCAAACTGCAACAAAAAATAGCTGGGTGTTGTGGTGGGCATCTGTAGTCCCAGCTACTTGGGAGGCTGAGACAAGAGACGCCTAAGCCCAAGAGTTGGAGATTGCTGTGAGCTGTGGCATTACAGCACTCTACCAAGGGCAATAAAGTGAGACTTTGTCTCTAAAAAAAAAAAAAAAAAAAATATATATATATATATATATATGTATTTTGTAATCTGTTTTTAATAGATAGCAATAATCCTGGGTGTGTTTTTATATCTAGAAATTTATATGATATTTCTATTCTATTACATTTGCATTACTATTATTCTTTTAGATAATTCCTTTAGGATGGCTACCATTTTAAGCTCAACTCAAAATTATTTTGTGCATACTTTAGTTTTTAAAGCCATGACCTACACATTGTGAATAGAAATGTTTCATGTCGGGTGGCGCCTGTGGCTCAAGGAGTAGGGCACTGGTCCCATATACCAGAAGTGGCAGGTTCAAACCCAACCCCAGCCAAAAACTACAACAACAACAACAACAACAAAAAAAAAAAAAAGGAAAAAAAATGTTTCATGTCTAATTATAACAGAAACCATACTTCTAGTAACAGTGTTCTTTTTAATGTTTTCCAAATATCACATTTGGAAATGTGATCACATTTGGATTTGTGATAACAAATATCACATTTCTATTCCTTTATTCTTACTGCTAAAACCTGCCTGAAATAACTTCTCCAATATGCTCAACATGTTAAAGAAATCATTCTCACACCTGCAATCCTAGCACTTGGGAAGCTGAGGCAGGTGGATTGCCTGAGCTCAGGAGTTGAGAACAGCCTGAGCCAGAGTGAGACTTTGTCTCTAAAAATAGCCAGGCATTGTGGCGGGCACCTGTAGTCCCAGCTACTTGGGAGGCTGAGGCAAGAGAATCACTTGAGCCTAAGAGTCTGAGGTTGCTGTGAGCTACAATGTCACAGCACTCATTCTGTCCCCCCCTGCAACCCCCCAAAATCTGAATGACCAGCCCCTGAATCAAAATCCTTTAGTAACCCCTATTGTGCTGAAAATAAAACCCAAAATCCTTAACATGATATTTAAGGCCTACTTGCCTGTCCCAAAATCTCCCTGCTACATTATCTTCTAAAAGTGTTAACCCTTCAAATAAAAAACTAAAATCTAAATGAAATTTGTTTTATATGATATAAAGAGGGATCTAGTTTTTTCTCCCCAACCAAAAAGTGATGCAATTTTCTTAACATTATTTATATAAAAGTCCATCCTTTGCTAACAACATCTGCATGGCCTCTTTTATCATAAATCAACCACCCATATATGTGTGGATTTATTTATGGCTGTAGGCTCTGTTCCATTAGGTTATCTGGCTAGTATTCAGCCAATATCAAATTTTCTTAACTCTAAAAGGGTTTGATATCCAGTAGAGCAAAACCTCCAACCTTGCTCTCTCCACAGGAGCCTTCACTATTCTGCTCTTTTCCTTTGTGTTTAAAGATCCACAACAGAGCATTTCCTACTCGTAATCCTTTGTATTTCTATATAAATTTCAGGATCATTTTGTCCCCCCCAAAGCAAGATTCCCCCCAGAAGAGTTATAATTTTGAATGAATCTATTCATTAATGTGGAAGAAAAGACAATTTTAAAATACTCAGTCTTCCGGATCAAGAACATGGGATCTCTCCGCATTTAATCTTTTTTTTTTTTTTTTTAAGAGACAGAGTCTTACTTTCTTGCCCTCGATAGAGTGCCGTGACAACACAGCTAACAGCAACCTGTGGGCTTAGACGATTCTCTTGACTCAGCCTCCCAAGTAGCTGGGACTACAGGTGCCCACCACAACACCCGGCTATTTTTTGTTGCAGTTTGGCCTCGGCCAAGTTTGAACCACCCACCCTCGGTATATGGGGCCAGTGCCCCACCCACTGAGCCACAGGCGCCACCCTTTCTTTAACTATGTTTAAGGAAATACTTTATATTGATCTCTAAGATAAGGAATCCTATTAGTAAACAATGAATTTTTTTATTTTTTTGAGACAGAGCCTCAAGCTATCCCCCTGGGTAGAGTGCCATGGCATCACAGCTCACAGCAACCTCCAACTCCTGGGCTCAAGCAAGTCTCCTGCCTCAGCTTCCCAAGTAGCTGGGACCACAGGTGCCCGCCACAACACCCAGCTATTTTTTGCTTGTAGCCGTCATTGTTGTTTGGCGGGCCCGGGCTGGATTCGAACCCACCACCTTAGGTGTATGTGGCTGGCGCCTTAGCCACTTTAGCCACAGGCACCGAGCCTTTTTTTTTTTTTTTTTTTTTGAGACAGAATCTCACTTGCTCACCCTCAGTAGAGTGCTGTGGCATCTTAGCTTACAGCAACCTCAAACTCTTGAGTTCAAGTGATCCTCTTGCCTCACCCTCCCAAGTAGCTGGGATTACAGGCGCCCACTACAACATCTGGCTATTTTTTAGAGATGGAGTTTCACTCTGGTTCAGATTGGTCTTGAACTCGTGAGCTCAGGTAATCCACCTGCCTCAGCCTCCCAAGCACTGGGATTATAGGCCTGAGTCTCTGCACACAGCTAAACAATGAATTTGATCAATATTTCTATTTGATGATCATATGATTTTTCACTAATATAGTATGACGCATTAACATTAATGGACTTCTCTCATGTTAAATAAGCCTTATATATTAGAAATAAAATCAGTTTGGTTGTGATAGATTTTTATATCCATGCTCACAAGTAACACTGGGTTCCAATGAACTTTCTCAAACCAAGTTTTATGAAGGTATACGTACAAAACCTGAACATATTTAAAGCATACATTTTAGTAAGTTTTTAAGTATGTCTATACCTGTGAAACCATCAACAGAACCAAAATAAGTAACAACCACTACACCCCTCCTGATGCCCCTTAGCAATAGGTCCCTACGGCCCGTCTTCAGCTTCCTCTACCTCATCCCCAGGCAACCACTGATCTGTGTTCTATCACCACAGGTTACTTTTAATGACCTAAAAGTAAAAGATTTTACACACGAGATCATACATATATTCTTTTCTTTCACTCAGTATACTTATTCCGAGATTCATCCATGTTATTGAACAATAGTTTATTACTTTCTATAACCAAGTAAATAATATGCATATATAAATAACCAGAATTTGTTTATCTATCCACCTGCTGGAGACCATCTGAATTGTTTTAACTTTTCAACTATTACCAAAAAAGCTGCTATGAACATTTATACACAAGTCATAAATATTTTTCCCGATAGTTTTTCTTTTTTTCTTTTTTTTTTTTTGAGACAGAGCCTCAAGTTGTCCCCTGGGAAGAGTGCCATGGCATCACAGCTCACAGCAACCTCCAACTCCTGGACTCAAGCGAGTCTCCTGCCTCTGCCTCCCAAGTAGCTGGGACTACAGGCACCCGCCACAACGCCTGGCTATTTTTTGGTTGTAGCCATCATTGTTGTTTCACTCCCATGCTGGATTTGAACCCATCAGCTCAGGTGTATGTGGCTGGCACCTTGGCTGCTTGAGCCACAGACACTGAGCCCCAATAGTTTTTCTAAAACATTTATATGTTTACCTATAAAGCTTAGGTCTATATCCCCTTACTAATCTTTAATGACTACAAAAACCAAAACATCACATTTGCATTCCTGATACTGCTTATCAGTGTCTTCTTGTCATGACCAATGAAGCCAGAGGTTTATCAATTTTATTAGGTTTTTTTCAAATAATCAACTTTTGATGTTCTTGATTAAAACTATATCTTTGTTTGTAGTTCATATATTGTTTGCTATGATTTTAGCAATAACATAGGTTATTTATACTTTAGAGCTATAATCCTTGTGAACATATAAAAGTATCTGCTTATCTTTTTGTTATTTGTTTCTTGTATTTTGTATATTACCAAACTTTGGAAATTACTTAAAATGTGCTGTAAGGCACAATATATAATAAATTTTTATAAATGTTATATGTATTTGAGGCAAGGCGCTGTGGCTCATGCCTGTAATCCTAACACTCTGGGAAGCCAAGGCAGGTGGACTGCTTGAGGTCATAAGTTCGAGACCAGCCTGAGCAAAAGCAAGATCCCATCTCTACTCAAAAAAAGAAAAACTTTGGCAAGAGAATCGCTTGAGCCCGAGAGTTGGAGGTTGCTGTAAGCTATGACACCACAGCACTCTACCCAGGATGAGAGCTTGTCTCAAAAGAAAAAAAAAAAAAAAACACATGTAGTGGGCTCCTATAGTCCCCACTATTTGGGAGGTTGAGGCAAGAGAATCACTGAAGCCCAAGAGTTTGAGGTTGCTGTGAGCTGTTACGCCATGGCACTCTACCACGGGCAACACAGTGAGACTCTGTCTCAAAAAAACAAACAAACAAAAAAAAAGTTATATATGTTTGAAAACAGTGTTCAGTCTACATTTGTCCTAATGCCCACTAGGTCAGAGCATGAATGTAGTTGTTCAAATTCTTCTGTAGAGCATTGATTTTTTTGATAGGCTAGCTCTATCACTTAGAGAGGTGCTTGTTATCATCCATGATGATTACCAATTTGACTCTTTTTTCCTTGCAGTTCTGTCAATTTTTGTTTTATATAGTTTGAAATACAGTTATTATGGAATTATAGATTTTTGAACTGTTAAATCTTCTAGTAAATTTGACATTTTATCATTGTAAGATTTCTTCTTGAAAAAAAACCATTTTATCATAAAGACATCTGCACTAGAATGTCTACTGCAGTTGCATTCTCAATTGTCAAGAAGTGGAGTCAACCCAAGTGCCCATCAACCCATGAATGGGTTAACAAACTCTGGTATATGTGAACCATGGAGTACTATTCAACCATAAGAAGAGATGAAGACTTTATATCTTTTGTGTTTACCTCGATGGAGTTGAAACACATTCTTCTTAGTAAACTATCATAAGAATGGGGAAAAAAGTATCCAATGTACTCGATACTAAGATGAAACCAACATATAAACAACTATAAGCCTATACAAAAGAAAACCACAAGTATAGTCTAGCATGGGGAAGGGAAAGGAGGGAGGAGGGAGAGAGGAGCAGGGAGAATGATTGGCAGGATCTCACCCAATGTACACAATGTGAGGGTGTTTAGGACACCCCCTGGGTAAAGGGCTCAACTACAACTTGAACTTTACTTTAGAAATGAAAACAACGTAACCTAAATATTTGTACCCTTGTATCAATCTGAAATTTAAAAAAAATTTGTCTTCTTTATATGTATAGTAATGCTTTTCTGATTTATGGTTTATTTTGTCTAATATTAATATAGCAACACCAGCTTTTTATATTACTTGATATAATTTTATATCATTTAATGGATTTACCTATTCTGCACATTACATATAAATAGAATCATATACTGAGGCCTTTTGTGTCCAGCTTATTTCATGTAGCATAAAGTCTTCAACATTCATCCATGGTAAAACATGCATCAGAATTCCATGCTGGGCTTAGCCCCCATAGCTCAGTGGTTAGGGCGCTGGCCACATGCACCAGGGCGGGTGGGTTCGAACCCAGCCAGGGACTGCTAAACAAGAATGACAACAATAACAAAAAAATAGCTGGCTCAGCGCCCATAGCTCAGTGAGTAGGGCACCAGTCACATACACCGAAGCTGGTGGGTTCAAGGCCAGCACCAACCTGCTAAAACAATAATGACAACTGCAACCAAAAATCCTATAATCCAATAATCAACTGCAATAATGACAACTGCAACCAAAATCCAATAATGACAATGCAACCAGGCATTGTGGCAGGCACCTGTAGTCTCAGTCACTCAGGAAGCTGAGACAAGAGAATTGCTTAAGCCCAAGAGTTTGAGGTTACTGTGAGCTGCGATGTCACAGCACTCCACTGAGGGCGATATAGTAAGACTCTGTCTTAAAAAATAAATAAATAAATAATTTCATTCTATTTTAGGGTTGAATAACATTCCATTGTATGGCCAGAGAATATACCACATTCATGTAGCCATATTCACCAGCTGATGGACGTTTGGGTTCTTTCCACTTTTTACTACGAGTAATGCTGCTGTAAATATTTGTTTGTGCTGTTTTCCCTCCACTATTTTACTTTGCCACTTTCTGTATCCTTATGTGTACATGTATCTCTTACAAATAAAATGGAGTTTTGTTTTGTAAAAGCCTGATAGTCTTTCTCATTTATTTAGAACATCTATGCCCCTTATCTTTTATGTAATCATTGATATATTTGGGTTTAAACCTACAATTTTGGCCATTTTTCCCATTGATTCTATGATTTTTCCCCTTCTTGTTGATTGCTTTTGGGTTGACTTTTTAAAATTATTCTATTTTCCTTGCTCATAGTTCAGAAACTACACACTATATTTCTATTCCATTAGTGATTACTCTAGAAATTAAAACTTTCAAAATTGCTACTCAAGATTTCCACTTCCAGGTATGATGAAGACCCTACCACACTACCCCTAAGAGAACAACTATAAAACCTATACATGATAATAACCAAGCAAATATCTCATGGTTCTAGGGAGTAAACCAGACACACATGAATTCTGGTGGGAGTTTACAGTCACTCAGAGAAGGGGTAATAAGTTTTCTTTTCTCTGGCTTTTAGCCTGGGACTAACTGCAGTGAGGGAGAGAAAAAGATTATAGTATTGGAGGGGGTTAACTTCCCAGCATGAAAGTCCAGAAAAGAGAAGGTAGAAAGTTCTTAACATCGGGCGGCACCTGTGGCTCAGGGAGTAGGGTGCTGGCCCCACATACGGAGGGTGGCAGGGTCAAACCCAGCCCCGGCCAAACTGCCACAAAAAAATAGCTGGGCATTGTGGCAGGCACCTGAAGTCCCAGCTACTCAGGAGGCTGAGGCAGGAGAATCACCTAAGCCCAAGAGCTGGAGGTTGCTGTGACCTGTGACGCCACAGCACTCTACAAGGGGGACAAAGTAAGACTCTGTCTCTTAAAAAAAAAAAAAGAAAAGAAAAGAAAGGAAGTTACTAAGATCAAAGAATGAGGAGGATCATACAAGGACAAGAGCTAATAAGGACATCTCCAAACTGTGAATCTACCCACAACTGTAGGGATCCCTAACAACAAAAGCATATATGGCAGACTCAAAGGAACCAGCTAAAGACAAAAGGCTGAAAGGGAGATCAAAGCCGCCAATCAAGAAACACAGTTTGTATTTCAAGCCTAACCCAGAAAATTATATGCTATCTTAAAGGAAATACAACTCATAAAAAAATAATTGAAACCAGAGTCTCCATAAGCTAACAATAACAATATCCAGGACACGATTCAGCTATTACCCATCAAATGAAGAACCAAAGCAAGGAAGACATTCCCAAGAGCAAAGAAACTCAAGCAAGCAGGCCTAACAATGAGAGAAACCAGATGTTGACATGAACAAAGGAGAATTTTGAAGTGACTATTATAACTAAGCTCAATGAAGCAAAACAAAACACATGCTTAAAGGCCTAACAATCACATTGGAAAAAGAGAAATAATGAAAAATAATTAAATGTAGATCCTAGAACCAAAAATTACCTTTCTGAAATTTAAAAAAATGTGATGAATAGACATAAGATCAAAATAAACATGACAACATGAAAAGCAAAGGGTGACTAAAGACAGATCAATACAAATTATCTAAGTGAAAAGTGAAAAAGATGAAAAGAAGTATGTGTAGATAGCCAAAAAAAAAAAAAATGTACAAATACAACATGATAAAACGCCAATTAGAGTAAATACGAAGATCAACACACTGAGGCATATCATAGCTAAACTGTTAAAGACCAAAATCATAGAGCAAATACAGTAGAATCCTCATTGTTGACCACCTACCTCAGTTGACCTAATTTTCATGGATTTGACATGCACCATCTGTACTTATCAGTACAGTAAGCCCAGTTCATTATGATGACCACCTCTATATGCTGACCAGTTTGTTACAGTCCCTTGGGTGGTCAACGTACAGAAGTTCTACTATATTTACAGCAACGAGAAAAAACCCAAGGCCCGGGCCTACAGCTTAGCAGCTAGGGGGGTCAGCCATACATACTCAGGCTGGCAGAGTCCGACCCAGCCTAGGCCTGCCAAACAATGACAACCACAACAAAAAAATAGCCAGGGGTTGTGGCGGGCACCTATACACTCCCAGCTACTTGGGAGGCTGAGGCAAGAGAATTGCTTAAGCCCAAGAGTTTGAGGTTGCTGTGAGCTGTGATGCATTAGCACTCTACCAAGGGTGACATAGTGAGACTGTCTCAAAAAAAAAAGAGAGAGAGAGAGAGAGAAACCCAAGTATTTCTACACATAGAACAATCTAATTAGTGGTTTCCCACTTCAAGGCTGCCATATAGGGAGATGGAATACAGGCAGGCATCAGGTGACTCCCTAAGTGGAAAAGCCAGAGCTAAAATTCCGGGGAGACCAAGATTACTAGAGTTCAAAGCAAAGAGTACCAGAGAGGAGACCATTACACAGAGAAAAAACTCAAAAAACATGCACAGAACCCCTCAAGTCTTCTGGTAAGTATTGATCAGTGCATGCATGTGATAAAACTACCCAAGGCTTGGGGTATTACAAACACCCAGAAGAACTAGAGATAAAAGCACTAGACACTCAGAGAGAACCAGAAATTGTTCTAGTTCCTACTAGCCAGACTGGCAAACCTCCTGATTCACAGGTCATTGCCTATATAGGATACAGCACCAGTACCCCTAGATTGAGAACTACTCAAACAGTTTTCAAGGACGTTAACTGTGTCTCAGAAAAAAACAAACTTCAAAACCATCTATTTATAGTAATATACCTAGTACCCAAAAACATTAAATTCACATCTGGCCTCCAGTAAAAATTGCCAAGTATGCATGCAAAGCAAAAAACTCAGTTCATAATGAAAAAAAAAAAAAATCAATTACACTAACACGAACACAAAATTAAGATTTTAGAATAGGCAAAAGCATTCAAGTAGGTATTATATGTTGAAAAGTTCCATATACTGGTAAAAACAAAAATAAGAAAAATATACATAACAAATTAGACATTAGGAAACGAGATTAGTGAACCAGAATACACAGCAACAGAAACTATTCAAAATCAAACAGGGAAGATAATATAAAGGAAAAGTATTAGTGAACTGTGGAACCTAACATAAGTTTAAATAGAGGTCTAAAAGGGGAGAAGAGGTAGAGCAGAGAGGGCAGAAAATATACTGAAAACATAATGGCAAAAAAACTTTACAATTTTGATGAAAACTATAAATTTACACATCCAAAAAGCTCTATCTAAGAACAAGAGAAAAAATGGGAGAGAAAACTTTACCATGACACATTATTGAATAAATTGCACAAAACTAGAGAAAAAGAGGGGAGAAACAATAAAAGTAGCCAGAGGGGGTGGGCGTGGTAGCTCACACCTGTTATCCTACCACTTTGGAAGGCTGAGGCTGGTGGATTGCTTGAGCAAGAGAGATACCCTGTCTCTATCAAAAACAGCAAAATTGGCTCAGCTCCTGTGGCTCAAGTGGCTAAGGCACCAGCCACATAGACCAAGGTGGTGGGTTTGAATCCAGCCTGGGCCCGCCAAACAACAATGACAGCT